TGTCAGCTGCTCAGCTGTTTAGTCTGTTTCCTCACTGATAGTCTGGGAAAGACACCTGCATGCGAAAACATCTTGCAACCTTTATCCTGTGCTCAAGATGGATCGCTTAATAGATGCATAACAGAGCTCCACATTTTAGTTAAGAAATACCACTTTCAAGGGAGAGAGTGGCCAGCATCAGCATATGAGTAACAGTTCTAATTTAGCTTGCCCCAACATGCAAAATCAAAATAAATTATTTTTATTTTCACTTTAAGGAATCTGACCTGGTACCCTGGTAGCCCAGAGCAACCTGCAGTTTAAGACAACTCTGTACCACATAAGTGAAAAGTATAACTGTGTATGTTCAAGTTCTACCAATAGATCAGCCATACAAACACACAGCTAAGCATGAGTTAACAGCATTTTGAAAAAAAAAAAAAGAGTAAAAGCCACACTTGCAGGAAGAAAAAAAATTGACCCCAAATAAAATATTTGAAAGAATAGGAGCCTTTCCTCCTTTAAAAGAGCAGCAGGAGGGAATTGAGGGGTAGGAAAATTTTTTAGGGTAGTTTCAAAAGATGCTTGTATTGGTTAATATATATCAAGTGAAACTTAAAAATTATCAGATCGAATACCTTCATTTAAAAAAAAATTCTGTCAGCTGTGCTGAAATTCTGATGCATCTGTACACTTAAGCAGGGTTTCAGCTTTGATTTGTAAAATACTGGCACTTCATATATTCCTCAGAAAAACAGAGAAAAAAAGCTCCTCTGGAGTCCAGTGTTTTACTGGGAATATTTCACTGACTTCAGTGCACACTGAATTAGGTCTCTGAATATGAGTTTATTCCAGCTGATTTTCATAAGCTGCTTTCTGCAGTTTGCATACAAACAACTTTGTTCAGATAACTTGGCCCAGAAAAAACACTTTTGAAGGCCAACAACTGCATCTTGCATTCCTTTAGCAGTCAAGATGCTTGCCAGCTTCGTCCTTTCAGACACAAAAGCTTTCTTTCCAAGAGCTTTGACCATTACCATTCCTGTCAGTAGCATATTTTTTCTATTTATGCTTCAGTTATCTGGTCACATTTCATGGATCTTCACTTTAAGGCAATTTAATTAAAAAAACACAAAACCAAACAAAACCAACAGAAAATACAATGATGCATCTTGTTACAAAATAAGAACTTGGCATTGGCAAACAAGAATGCTCATTCTCTTTGCTTATATAATGCTTATATAAATGAATTTTATGCAAATGGACATTTTTTACAAGGGTCACTCACTAATGGTTTTATGCATTCACTACATTTTCCTGAAATGAACTTGCACTGGTCCTCCTTTTGAGCTAAGTCTCTAAGACCTTAGGCACCAAACAGTGAAGTAATTTACATCCACAAAACAAACTGAACCTGGGCAGAACACTATTATATAAAACTTCAAAGCATTATATATAAACATTATGTCCATCTTCACTATTTTTAATTATGCATGTTCACCACAAATGCTACATATAATAGTAATTTGATTATATGTTTGTCCAGGTAAGTATACCATGTTACAGAATAAATTAAAAACTTAAAACCTGACTGATATAAACTCAGCAGTTTTGTCTGCAAAGCCCTTGGCAGCTTTCCTGGGCATCTGTTAAGAGGCTGTGCATTGATTTTTGTTTGGTGAGTCACACAGGGCAATGTAGGGCTGTAGTTTCATTAAGAGGAGTTCATCATTAGAGAGAGAGACCCTGAATGGATTCTATATAAGCACATCACAGAACAAAAAAAAATTAATTCTTGCTCCATGCAGTGAAGTACAAAACAGAAGACAGAGAGTAGCTTAAAACAATGAGACAATTAGCCTCATTAATTAGTGCTGACAACTTACTAAGCATGATGAGCAATATGATCAGTCCCACAGCAACTTATCTATCAAGATAGTTCTTGTAGGTACTGTGGTAAAAGGTGAATTTTAACAAAAGATTTCTAGAAAGCAAATCAAAAACCTTTGCAGTTGTATGAGCAAATCCATGTTGTAGAGTGGAAAGACAAAGATTCTTGTTTGAAAAAGTAACAATGAATGTTGTCACCCTTGATTAATCAGAGGCACAAATCAACTTCTCAACAGTGAATGAAAGGAGACTGATACAGGTACTGATTGTATACGGAAGGCCTGGAAAGCAAAAAAACATGTCTACATCACAAAGTGCTTATGCCTTAGTCCTAAGAAAAATCCCAACTCAGACCACTGCAACCAAAGAAACCACTTTTAGAATATAGCATCATCAGTTCTTCAGAATTATTTTAAAGCTGTCTTCAGAATGTACATTTAACTGTGCTAAGCACTATAAAGTATAATAAAAAGACAAAAACCTACTGAACTCGCACATATAATCATGAAAACATACATGCACCAACCATACACTCATCAAGAATGTAAAATTCATTATGGATACTAAACATCCTTACAAGTCAACTGTCTGAAATCACACCTATGATTGTCATCATGTTGCTACTTAGAGAAGGTCCACTGGTCCAAGAAAATAAACTTTAAAAAATGTATGGAACTTAAGGTAGAGGTAAGAAGAAACCATATATATGAGTGTGCACGTGTGTATGCACAGTTTTGAAAGCCAGCACTGTAGGCTGATAGATCCCTTTTCAGTTAACATTTATCTTCAGTCTGTATTTATAATATATATAGGTTAAGTCATAAAAAAGCAGGTTTCCATTTCTGATCTTCCTCCTTTTGGTCATACAGAATGTGCAATTATGAATGAGCATTCTAGCTTTAATTCAGATGCTATGGGAGAAGGTCTAACAAATACCATTTCTACATTTAGAGAAATTTTGAGAAATTTTGATCGTAAATAGTATCTTGAGCAAACCACTCAAACTGCTACTACATCTTCAGTTTCTGAAAACTGTGCCTCCAGCCTAATTATACTTTTCCAAGCTGCTAGACAGGCCCAATGAATTGCATTCCAACCTATTCTGTTTCAAAGCTACAATTCAAACATTATAAGTCATGCAGCTGATGGAAGATGAAGCTGGAGCTTTCACTCACCTCTCTGTGATACAGCCCAGTTAGCTTTTCCTTCTGGCTGCATCAAGTTGCAACAATCATTCATGTAATAGGTTACAAGTGTTTTAGATGAGCAATTTGGAATAGCTTTCAACATTAGAAAAGGGCTGTTTAAACAAAGTGCTCAAAGATTGGCAGCTACATACAATTAAGTGTGTTCTCTAATTAGACCATTAGATTTTAAATATCAATTTAAAAATGCCAAACTCTCTCTCTTTGAAAGTCAATGATCAGTAAATTAATAATACCAAAAGCACTGGGATGGTGGGAGGGTTGGGAGTCTGTGTTGATTTTCTCTTTTTTTTAAGAAACTTTGTTTAATCCTTCCTGGTCACTGTTCAAATATTTGAGCTTTGTAGGGGAGCCGAATATTGACAGGACAGAAATCACATACATACAACGTATGAACCAGGAATCTGTATTCCACTATCCTGGAATATAGAACTCTTCCTACCCTATTAGTTGCTCAGTGAAAAAGCATGTATCCTACCACTTTACTAAAAAATCAGCCTGAAGGAAAATTGCATCATTTTCTTCAGTCCTCACTTGCACGTTTCACTGATAGTTTATGTGGCAAAAAGAAGCTAGAGCCAACCCTCAGCTTTAACAAAGCATGTACCTCCAAATATTCACATTAGAAGTTATGATCTGTCATAATAATACAGTGCTTCATCATTTTAAGCAGTTCTAAGCAGCAACTTAAAGCTTAAAATCAGCTCTGAACACTTTCTGGGTTTGTGTGGTATAGTTTTCCTCTTTCCAGGTGATATAACTGTCTGACTAAAGGCAGAAAGCCTGGCAGAGTTGAAGTAAGTATTGCATATTGTAAATCACAAAACATAAGGTACTTGCTTCAGGCCACAACTAGGATGGCTTCAGGCCAGAAGCACAGAACGTCTCTGAAGAAAAACTGAGAGAATCAATTGTATATTTTGTAAAAATCTAAGGAAAGATTCATACTAAACTGAAAAACAAAAATATTTTTTGTATTCAAGGTACTGTGTACAAATCAGAACGCAATGACAGTTTCTTATGACAGAAAGGAACAAACTGAACCTGAGGTTACAAAATGAAAATTAGGGAATTAAGGAAACCGACAAATCTTCTGACACTGAAAGAGACCACAATGAATTTCAGGAGCATCCGAACTTATGAAAAATAGACAGCAGCATGTAACAATTAGTATTGTGACTGCTTGTGAATTAATAATTCTCTGAATTAATTTGAACCAATTCCAAACAATTTTGGCTGATCACTTCAGACTTCTAATATATAAACCAGAACATCTTTACATAGGAAATGCAGTTTAATAGTATCATACAGGTCCTAAAAAAAGACAGCAAATTGAAAGCAAATGGTTAAAGAATTTGTTAGCAAATAGGATTAAATAGGCTGAAAGATGTTTCCCAGCCTTGGCATCAAGCAGGGAGCCTCACTGGGGCCTGGATAAGCAGTGGAAAGCCTTGTACACAGACCTTGCTATCTCCCTAGTAAAGTCATATTTGCAAGTGAAGGACATTGATAGAGATTCTCAAAATAGTGTGCTAGGGGAAAAGGGGGGTGGGTTAGACTGAAAACACAGCACATGCTTTGAGAACAAAAAGTCCTCTCACAGATTTACATTTTCCAAACTCCATTGACGCATGTGAAAGAAAACACAGACGATAAATTCTCGTTCTCAGTGCACATTTCAAGACATCACTTTAATTATTCCTATCAGTTCCGTTGTCTATTGCACTCCCATTTCTACCTCCCCCAACATATGAATGATACTTTCCATGTTTTCAGCAGCACTTTTTGTGTACCCAATCTGCAGGTGCACCAAATACCTTGGCAAGGGGCAAACTGATTATCACTTAAGAAAACAGTAACACTGTATAGTTCATACTTCTTCAAGGTCTTGAGTGAGCATAAATTCTCTTGAAAACGAAGTTATTGCACTTCAAGCATCAAGACAACGAACCAGGTAAGTCTTGTTACTGCTTGTAGAGATGATTTTACCGTATTTTGTAATTTATAAACTTTTTTTCTCTCTCTTATGCAGTTGTTAAGTAATTCAAATAACTATTTTCTCAGGTCTTAAATACAAAAGCCTCAAATACTGTGCAATAGTGCAATATACTGAAAAGAGGATATTGTTACTAACTTGTAATAATTTTCAGGTCAATTCTACAGAGCTGCTCTTCATTTTTTCTGAGAACTCTACACTTTCTTGTATATATTTCAAAATATGTACTGATGAATTTTTAACATACTAAGTATCGTAACATCTCTGCTGAATCCTAGGTAATAATGTTGGCTACCTCATACTTTAACCTCTGTTCTAACCTGCACAGGTTTTTAACAGCCTTACAGTTTCCTGTGTAAAGAACATAACTAATTTTTATTTTCCCTAATATCTACATTTATATTCCAGGTTTACTCTTGCCACAAGTGGAGTTCATCTTGATCTGGCTCGTTGTTCCTTTTTCCTATGCATATACTTCTTTGAGAATTGCTTCTAAAGAGGTATAGGGCATGGGAAAATGGGGCAATTGAGGTACTTCACCACTCATTTCAAATAGCTGAGAAATGTATAGCGAAAACAGATGTATGAAGAAATTACAGGTAAATTTATTAAACTCCCAATTAACCATCAAAACCTGCATAAAAAGATGCTGTTATTATTTCTCTGTTGGTTTTATCTTAAAATCTGATTTATTACAAGAGTAATATTTTAAGCATTTATCCAAATACATTATATATATATATATATCTGTCTATCTTGCTTGGTTTGATGTTCTAAAACATATGCATTGCTGAGAAGTTACTCCTGTAGTCCTTATTCCCATAAACCTCCAATTGAAAATAATGGAAATGCAGTCTCACAAACTGCAAAAAATGCAGCTCTGTCTCCCTGTCTCACAGGTGCTGGGAATCATTCTTCATTGAATCCAGTTAGTGCTGACTCAGGTATGTAAAGCCCAGTCATGCAAACACCTCCTACCTAAGGGGGCTGTCTGCAATGTACCCTTTATTCTTAGGACTTGAACTTCTAAGATCGTAAGTACCTTTTACATGCATGTTTGAAATTACAAATTCTTCTAAAACGCAGACAGTTAATAGTAAATCAAATAATAAACATCCTATTTTTTCTCTTTCACTCACAGGTACCTTGGAGGTGGAAGTGTAGAAGCTCTCTTGGCTTTTTTCATTCAGCAGAAAAACAGTCATTAAACACAATTTTTATGTTTCTGTCCAATTACTTTTATTTACTCTAAATAACAATGTATCATGTCAATTGGAGGGTGAATACTGCTATTATGAAATAATGTAACAATACATAACATATGTCAAATAAAAATCTTATGTTTCAGTCACAGGTCAAAAGTTTGTGTTACACTACATCACAGTTTCTAACAAGTCTTGTAAAGCTGTGGGCTTAGAAAAAGCAAAACAAGGTGCATTACAAATCACTTAACCCAGTGGTTATCATTATGCTACATTATTCAATATCAAATAAACATTTTTAAAGTTACTTTTCATTTATCTCTAACATACTAGTGTTGGAGGACTACTTTATTTACATGTCACTTTTTTCTTAAATTAAAAGGCAATTAAAATGACATCCACAACCATATCTTAGCTCACTGATGTCATATCAAAGCTTGTGGTAAAGGGAAGCTTCTGAGAGAAGGGATTTTTTTTATATATATATAAAAAGACATTAAATCTAATAACACTCATTAAAATCATGAAGAACCTCCAGAATTATTGCACATAAAGGTGGAAAAAAACACATACAAAACAAACAAAAATATAAACAAACAAGAGACAACACCCCCCATATAACTTATAGTTTCTCATATTTCACAGAAATCTCACATTAATGTAAAACTAAAAAAAAGCAATTGTATCAAAAAATGTGTGTTTTACCTCAAATACATCCCTTGTGTAACTTAGCCTAACACAAATCCCAGATCCCAATGCAACAGCACTACACTGATGCTTTTTTTTCTTAAGACACAAAGTATGCAATTTAAATTAGAAGCTAATAGGAATAATAATGTCATATTGGCTATTACCAAAAATATCTCTAGGAACATCTCTTAAACACACATGAAAAAATATTTCAGGTAATTCCTCAATATTTCTGGTGGGATTTTTGTTGTTTTTTTAATGCTCTAAGGCATTCCAAGAATGAATACATATGCTTAAAGAAACATATACTGAAAAAATATATGTATTGCATATTAATGCAGTGAATATTATGAAACAAATCCACTGTCTCCCAACAGAAGGCACATCACCAGAAGAAGCAGGAAAGTAATTATGTTAATCTAAATTATAAGGCCTACACTTTTAAAAATTTCTGGTCAACTAAAATTTTCTTTTTGTTGTGGTGTTACATTGTGTTATCACTTACAACTTAAAAGCAGCTCTTCCTGCCCTGATAGTCTCTTCCTGAATTTGCACTGCCAGTGGCAGTTTTCAAACCCTTCCATAAATGCCTTTAACTTAGTAAAGCAGCAGTTAAAAATATATACATATATATAAAACAAACCCACAATTTTCTGTTATGATGGTGGGTTACAGGTAAGACAGACCTCCCCTGCTAAAGGAATCCAAAAAGTGTCAGTCCAAGCTAAAGTGAAGGAATGTGAGTGCACACCCAGAAGCTGAAAAGGTTAAGTGCATCAGCACTGTAAGCTGTTATGTAAACTCACTTACAGCTCAGGAATATTTCTCTAAGGAGCACAAATAGTTCAGATAAATCAATGAGAGGCAGAAACTACATTTTTTGAAAAAGAACTGCTGCAAGAAAAATTCATTAGTGCTGATAACACCACCTCAAAACAAGTCTCTGGGATCTCACAGAGCTAGAACTCCCAACTAATCCTGTCAAGTTTTGAGCTGGTAGAGAAAAGCTAGTGTTCCGCTGTTAGTATAATTTACCATTTAGAAAAAAAATATTTTCTTAATTGTCTCTTCTGTAGTTTACATATTGTGAGATACAGTTAAACACTACAAGTTTCAACTAGATATGAAGCATCTTAATATATAAAAAAAAATGCAGCAAAAGCCCTTTCAGAAGTCGGGCTAAATTAACTTCATTGCAAATATTTTCATTATCACTACAAGTCTTACAAGACACAGGGTATAATGTCTTTTTTCAGAAATCATGCCTTCATATTTGGTAACATTGTGCATTACATGAACAGTATTCTGCAGTTCCCAGGACTCCCTATTCCTACTTTTGCTTCACTATGTTTGAGCTCTAAACAAGATCAGAGAATCAACATGCCCAGGAAAAAAAAAAAGTATCAGACACAAAGTTCTGCTTCCCCCCTCCCAGTGCAACCATTTCTCTGATCTGATTCCTTTTGTACCTGCAAAACCAGCTGCATCAGTATAATGAAAAAGAGATGTAGAAGTTGCTTAAGCTGGAAGGACAATTAGGTACATTTTTGAAATTTCAGTTTGAGGAAAGAGTTTTTACACTTCCTCTGTACTCACTTTCTGTAACATACAAAATACCCATCACAGATTTGACCTAGAGAAAAATCTTCATCTCCACCTATTTCAAAGACTTGCAGACACTTGTAAATTTATTTCATTTCTAAACACCACCTGTCAGCACTGGCATAAGTGACAGTGGAAAAACAATAAGGAATCATAGTCTGTACATCCAAATACAGTTTTTTGCTACAAAACCACACAGCAGCAATGTACTATGCTATAAACATTTACATTCGTTACTGAAACTAAAGCTAAATCTTCAAATACTATTCCAGCATCTACTTTACACTTTTTTTTTTAAGATGCCAATAGGTAGGTTTCATTATTCTCTGTGAACAGGAGAGGTGCAGTTCTATATGAAAAACTGAGCAGATTAAACAGCTCACTGATGCTGAAAAGGAACAGTCCTTCATACCTTTCTCCTCCTTCTGATTACCTTGAACCAATTCAGGCTAATTTTCTGACCCTCAGCTAATTCTCACCAAAGACACCCAGAAACAGGAAAATTCTTGGGTTTGGGTCAGAAAAAACCAAACAAGCAACAACCAATGCGAAAAAAATAAACCAACACATCAAAACAACTTCATATACTTCTCTTTGATAATTTTGTGGGGGTCTTTTTCACTGCAGAACTGCAGTTTAATGATAATTTACACACCATAGATGTGTGCATAGAGGAGGGAAGGAAAATATAAAGAAAAGCCTGACTCAATGCCTGACCTCAAATAGCTTAGTCTGGGATTAACCGGGGGGGTCTTACTATAGCAAACAAATGATGAAGTAAGTGAATTCATGAACTCTAATTGTTCAATCTTTCAATACTTAGGCTAGACACGCAGCAAAGAAGGTGTGTATCTGTTCTTTTCCTCATGAAAATTGTTCCAACTTTTAACAAGTCCTAGATTTACTGCCCCTCAACAAACCAACTGAACCCCATTAGATTGCACACAGCGCCCAGAGAGGATCCTTTGGGATTCAGCATTCTCCGAAGCTTTGCCCTCGGCTGTGCTCGCTTCAGCCGCGCTGGGCAGCGCCGCTCCCGGGGCCGCTCCCGAGCCCTCGGCGCTCCCCCTGCTGACACGGCCCGGAACAGGGACGAGAGATGGAGAGACAGACAGCAGATACGGCGTGGCAAATGCAAGCAGGCTGGGTTTACGAAAGCAGAGATGAAGGAAAGAAAGGACTGGATGTTTATGGAGCATATGGGCAGACAAGAGCTATTGCTGCGATGGAAGAATTTTAACCCTTAGGGTCTTATTTCTGTGCTCCTCCGTTTCTGCAAGCTGTCTGTTTCAACAATATAACACCCTTCAGAACTTTGGGTTACAATGCTTATTTCTGTCAGCAAAATGCATCTTTACAGTTTTTGATAGTCAGCTTTGATACACATCCGCACTGTGGGTTTATTTATTTTGAAAAGTTATCTTTGTAACTATTAGGCAAGCCACTAGGAGCTTAAAAGTAAAATACTGGTATTATTCATAAAATCTCAAATCTAATTCTTTTTCCTCCATAGTCCTTCTCCCTTCTACAAGATCAAAGCCTCACAGCTTTAGACATGGGAAGTTGTAGATCAAGTGAAAAAGGGAAAGCAGAAAGAGAAAAGAAGAAATAATACAATGAAGAAAGGTTAAACAACTTATTTCTTCTGTGAGGGACAGATTTCCCACGAGATGGGTCAAATTCTTAAAACAAAATATCTTTGCCTTGTTTTTAAATTGTGTCTTATAATGTGTCAAGGTGGTAACACTAAATTAAACTAAACTAAACTAAATTAAGTAACATTTGAATTTTAATTCAAACGGAGCCTCCTCCGGTACAGTCCCGCGCCACCAGGTGGAGTCACCGGCACAGAAAGAGCGACCTGAGGGGATAGCGGTGCGGGGGCAGAGGGCAGGGTCAGACACCCAGAGGAGAGGGCAAAAAGGAAGTCCTGTAAGTAAAAGCCATGTTCAAAAATCATTATTTCTTTGCTGGTGTGTTACGTATGCATCTGTACATCAATCCAGTTCTTACCTTGTTCTTCTCTGTCGTGACCAGTAACAGACCTGAGGGAATGGCCTGAAGTTGTGTCAGGGGAGGTTCATGTTGGATATTAGAGAAAGATTCTTTACCCAGAGGGTGATTGGCCACTAGAACAGGCTCCCCCGGGAAGTGGTCACAGCACCAAGCCTGACAGGGTTCGGGACATGTTTGGACAATGGTCTCAGACACATATTGTGACTCTCAAGGATGGTTCTGTGCAGGGCCAGGAGTTGGACTCCATGATCCTTGTGGGTCCCTTCCAACTCGGCATATTCTGTGATACCTTAGTCTCTCTATCTGGAAAAAGTGAGCAATTACACTGACCATAAAGACACTTATATAAAGCAACAAACCCACTCATTACTAAAAGGAATCATCCTGTTTCTTCCTCTTTCCTTTCATGCTTCAAACCTTACCCTGTGCAAGCTATAGAGCTCATCTAACTTTTCAGTGACTGGGTTTATCTCTTAGTTGTTAAAAAAGCCATTTGCTTTTCTTTTCCTTTTCTTTTTTTTTTCCCCTGTTTCCTGCTAGCTTGGAAACCTAAATGGACTCCCTGGTAGATCAGAGGGTTACCTAAACTGTGAACAAGGGAAAAGCATTGCCCAGAAAGAGAGAGGGAAGAGGAGTGAATCAGTTCCTTCCACCAGCTGAGCTGACAGCTCTACTCAACATGTTTCATTTATATCTAAATATGTCTCCTTTGTATGAGTAGAAGTTAGTGTAGTACATAACATTTTTATCTGATGAATGTCCTTAATATTTGTTAAAATTACTGAATTAACCTGTCTCTAGTGGTTTTTGATTGCTAGCATAATGACAAATCCTAGTACAGTTTCCACACATTAATATCTTCCATAATCAAACCAACAACCAGAAGAATAATTGTTGCTTTGCAGGAAATTACCTTCA